GCAAACAGAGACGGGCAGGACGCTGTGACTGCCACAGCACGAGTGGAGTGCCAGGGCTCCTCTCACTGCCAGCGCCTGGGCTGGGATGCCCGGGCAGGTCACAGATCACACGTCCTCCCCTTGCTAAATTTTAGTTTTACTTTTGTTGCAGCGTGCGAGGAGGCAGAGATGCCGATAATCTGGGGTTCTTTTTTTTTTGTGGGTTTTTTTTTTGTTTTTTTTTGTTTTTTTGTTTTTTTTTTTATTTTCTGGTGGGAGAGGGAAGTTTCTCCCACAGCTGAGCTGCCCGTGAGTCCGAGTAGCCAGGGCGAGGCACCGAACGCCCCTGGGGTTTGCTCCCATCATTGATTACGGTCTTAATAAATAAGTTACTAATTGCGCCTGAGGAGGATGTGCTGCCCCCGAGCACAGGAAGTTCGAGCTCGATCTAAAGCCAGACCTTGGCTGGCTAAAAATGAGCTTGACACTGCGAGGAGGAGGAGGAGGAGGAGGAGGAGGAGGAGGGATGGAGCCAGTCCAGCTCAGCAATCCACGGAGCCCCGGGGCCGGGGCAGGCTCAGGTTTCACCCCCAATTTGTTTTCCCGGAGGGAAACGGGGCCGGGAATTCCAGCAGGGATGTGCAGTGTTCATTTTCTGTGGATTAGGGGCTCGTGGAAGAACAGCACGGCTGAGGAATCACCCGACCAAAATAGAATTAAGTTCTGCGTTCAAAGAAAGATTAAAAACCTCCAAAAAGTGAGAGATCAAATAGCAGCAGCTCCGTGCTTCCAGCAAATCCCCCACAGTTTTTCCTCCTTTGCAGCTCACAGATCGTGCTCCAGCATGGGCTGCCCGGGCATTACTGTGTGTAAATACCCAAAAAACCTCATTTTTTGTGCCCCCCCAAAGAGGGAAATCCCGCTGCACTCCTCACGCAGCCGGATTGCCAGCTCTGGAGTTTCTTTGGCATAAACTTATTTTACGATTCATTACTCTCCTGGCAGAATAGGCAAATAAAGAACCCTTTGAAAATTACATTTTCCCGACCAAGTTGAATTTCAGTCCCCTGGGGATTCAACTTACAGAAAAAGATGGGGTGGG